TCTGCTCCGTCCATCTCTGCTCCGTCCATCTCTGCTCCGTCCATCTCTGCTCCGTCCATCCCGTCTCCAGCTTGTGAAATGAGTGTAGAAGCTAAATTTGTCTCTCTGAGCTCACCACAACAAGGGCCACCATCTTTTGTCTCGTTTATCTTCACCGCCGCACTGTTGACATGTTTCCCCCCTACCCCAATAATTAGAGCCTCCATTTTGGATCTCATCACTGCGGCTGCGGCGTAACCACAGGCTTTGAAGGTTGCTGCAATCATGCCATTAAATGATCCAGTAATTTAACAAACAGTTTTGTTGGCTGGAATTCAGCAGAACTTCTAAACGTTCTCCATCGTCTCCTGTTAGAAGGCTGTGCTTCTTCATGACTTTGGACGAGAAGCTCAGACTGGAGAAACATTTTCAAACATTTTTACTGTTTTTTAATATACAGCTAAAGAAATAAAGACTGAAATAATGGATCTGAATGAATAAAATATTCTCATTTAATACTTTGTACAAAGTAAAATCTGCTGAAAACAAAATCACAGTAAAATCCTCAATGGAATGAAATGGATGAACCGATGGAGGCCTGGATCTGGATCTAAGTGGATAAAAACCCTCCAGGCTGATCCAGCTCTGATGTAACGTCCCTCAAACTGGTCAGAATGAGGCTCAGTATTGTGTTTGGCCTCCACCTGCCTCTATCACCTCCCTACAACACCTGGGCTGCTCCTGCTGAGGAGGAGCAGGAGGATGGTCTCCTGAGGATCTCCTCCCAGACCTGGACTAAAGCATCCTCCCCCTCCTGGACAGGCTGTGCTGCAGTGCTACGTTGGTGGATGGATGGAGACATGTTGTCCCGGTGTTCTGCTGTTTTCTGGTAAATGCCAGCGTCCTGCATGCTGTTTGGCTGAGAGCACGCCCCCCCTCTGTGGACGTCAGGCCCTCATACCGTCCTCATGGAGTCCGTTTCTAAGCCTTTGTGCAGAAACATGCACATGTGTGGCCTGCTGGAGGTCATTGTGCATTGTCATTGTAGAGTCCGTCTCATGCTACCATGAGTGTGAAAGTATCACCAACATTCAAAAGTGACCAAAGCATCAGACAGAAAGCAGAAGGACTGAGGAGGTGGTCTGTGGTCCCACCTGCAGATTGACTGGGTCTCACTAACTGCTGAGTGGATCATTTGATTTCACAGAAGTTTGATTAAATTAAAGTTATAGTGTTGTTTATGTGTCCATTTCTGTTTTTGAGCAGTGTATATTTCTGCATATATTTTCCTACAACAAAATGACAGATGAAAAATTTTCACTAACTACAGGTTCTGTTTCTAGCTTTTATAATTATGCAACACTTCATTATAGAAAAAGGTCCTGAGCCTAAATTGAGACATAAAATTTCAGTTGAACTAAAACCACCTGCAGGATAAATCTGTTTCCTCTCTATTCAGAGTAACGGAGGCAACGCCGCGAAAACTTTTAATCTAAGTCATTTGTTCTTGAATTAAGGAGGCAAGTTAGACACTTTGCCAATGGAACAAGACAATTTACATTTAAAATAAGAAACAATTGAATTGAAGTACATATTATCTAATTAGCTTATTTCAAGAGTAAAAATACTGATTACATTGGCAAATCATCCTATTTACCTACTCATTAATTCTATTCAGTTTATTTCTATAGCTCCAATTCACATCATGTCATCTCAGGTCACTTTCCAGTTCACCAGATCATCCAGTC